CGGAATGTCCGTTGTACAAGAAGGAGAGGGAAGTGTACGTGACTGAGCTGGGAAAAATAGATGGAACGTACAGGGAGATGTTTGAGGCATGGAATAGAGAGGAAAGGACGGTAGCTGTACTGGGACATGGAAGGTGGGTTGAAAAGGCGGGAAGGGATATCGTCAGGATAGACAGACTAGGGAAGACATTTTTGAGCCACCTTTGGCAGAGTAGCAAGGAACGATTGGCCATCGGTGATCGGTCCTGTGGGAACAATGCTCCGTCCTCTCGAGGACGCGTGGTCAATGGTCTACCCCCTAAGGCATGCAAAACATAAGAGTACGCCCCCCCCCCTGTCGCCATAGGAAGCAGGTTGTTACAGCGGGAAGTGATATCGATAGGATAGATAGACTAAGGAAAAACGTTTTTCAACCACCTTTGGCAAAGTACGACGGAATGATTGACCATCGACGATCGGTCCTGTGGGAACAATCCTCGGTCCTCTCGTGGACGCGGTCAATGGTCTTACCCTGAAGACATGCAAAACATGAGATTACGCCCCCCCTCCGCCGCTGCCGCAACCGCGTGCCTTCTACCCCCGTGCCCCACACATACGTCGCTCCATACGGGGTCAGTCCTCCGGACAGCGAGAAGATGAGGTGGGGAGCGATGGTCCCTCGTCTGCACGACCAGGTCATGGCACCACTGATAGAGGTGGAGCAGAACATGCACGCCTCGCTCCGGCGGAAGGTCGCGGTGAGTCACAGGCAACATCTCTCTCGTTGTTTGCCTTCTCTCTCCCTCTCTCTCTGCCTCGGTCTCTCCGTGTGTCTCTCTTTCGTCCCTCTCTTGCATATATGTACAACGTCTCCCGTTCCGGGATGTAGGCACATGCCATCCCGGGGGTGACCGAAGTTGAAAAAACATCCCAACTGCTGTGCCGTCTGAAGATTATCTCGCACAGACTACTACCTTTCTCTGATCGCGGCAATGCACATTCTGTCCCTCTGTCTCTCTCGTGCTCTTGCTCGTTGTGTGCCTTCGCCCAATGCCGACGAAAACCTCTTGGCAACTACCACCTGCCACCGCCGGGGTCGTCGTCGTCGTTGCCCCCGTCTCTCGTTCTCGCCATCCAAACCACCGACGCGACGACGGTAGGACGCCGCCCGCGCTCGCTTGCAGATGCAGATGGCTCGGGAACAAGAGGCGGCGAGGCAGAGGTGACCAGAACCTCTGTTACTGTTGCGGTTGTCTCTGCTGCTGTTTCTGCTGCTGCTGCTACTGCTGCTACTGCTGGTGTTGTCGTCCTCGTTCGTGGTGTTGGTGTTGGTGTTGTCGTCGTTGTCGTTGCTGCTGCTGTCGCTGTTTTCTGTTGAAGATGCCCTCGGTATCCGGGCTTCCCCTTCCTCTGTCCTGTCTTTTCCTTCGTCAGGTCTCTACCGATGCACATGCTGTTTATGCTACTGTGTGCCGGACTTCCCCTTCCTCTGTCCTGTTTTTGCCTTCGTCAGGTCTCTACCGATGCACATGCTGTTTATGCTACTGCGCCGGACCTGACGTTTTTGTTGCCCACCCTTTCCCCCGTCCGTGGTGCTTACCTTCCACGGCAGGGAGATCCAGGCCAGGCAGCAGGAACAGAACAGGCGCTGGCAGGCAGCAGCCAGGTAAGGAATAGTGTCGTCGCGTGGCCGTCGCCGCCGTCACCGCCACCGCCTCTGCCGCCGCACCTCCTCACACGCTTCGACGTAGAAGCGGGAAGGGAGTTTTTCGACCCGCGGCTCCATCCAGCGTTGTCCGGAGCTCCCGTTTGGTGCTACACAAGCAGTGCAACCCCCCAATATACAACGCATTTATCCAACAATGAATTTGAATTTGGAGCACAACGCACACGTGCCAGTTGTTCCCCGTGAAATGGGCAGCGGGACGAGATTCTTTCGGCCCGGGCCTCCATTCCGCGTTGTCCGGAGCTAGCTCCCGGCTTCCGCTACAGCTGCTACTTAATGCTGGTGCTGCGGCCTTGCAGGGCTGTTCCCTCTTATTTTTGTCGTACCGCGCATGTGTGCGTTACCGGCGTCCCTTCCATGATCCTACCAACGCTTCCTTGTTGCCCGAGGAATCGTGTGTCCACACCGGTCGTTCCCGTATCGTTCAGCGGACCCGCTGCTGATGCGTGCACATCGTACGTGGTCGTCACCGCACTGATGTATGAACGTGCACCTCTGGAACATCCCCTCCGCCCGTTGAATGCTACCGGGTTTCCGCCGATGTTCTGTGATCACGGATGTGTAGAGCGGCCGGTTATTTGCCCCGTCTTTTGCCGTGTTAGCTTACGCCGCTTACGCCAGCGTGCCAGCAGCGACAAGAAGTGGCGTGTGTCCTCGCCAAACCGTGGGCGTGTTATGTGTACGTCGGCGCCGTGCAGTGCACAGCCCCACTCTCGTCGCCCTCTTCCTGCCAACGTCCCATCACCTCTTGCTGTTCCCGGAGATGTGTCGCATCTCTCCCACAAGAGAAACTTGTCCTGTCCCAAGTACACGTTACGCGGTCCACCTCACACGACTGCTTCAGGAGAACACCCAATCTGTACCCACAGGAGGCCAACACCCTCCGAGTGGCCTGAGAGCGCGTCTGCAAGCACTCCATTGTCCACGCTATCTTGTCGCATCACATCTCCTGGAAGCAACCATGCCTGGCGACGCGGAGCGGGACGTCAATGCGCACGAGAGCTGCGACGATGATGCGGACGAGCACGGCAAGAAGGCCGGAGCGCCACGGCGCTGCTGCAGCGGGTTGCCTCGTGTTTTTGTCGTAGCTCTGTTACGCTATGATGTGTTGTTGTTCGTTGTCGTATGACGTTATTGCCTTCATTGAGGACGGATGATACGGCAAGGGAGAAGTGGACAAGGGTGCTTGCGCAAGGGATGTATATATCTCGGGCCACTTGGAGAGTGTAGATCCCTCGTTGACCCCCTGTGGGTATGGTGTTCTCCTGGCGCAGTGCTTCTGTGGTGGACCGCGTACGTGTACGGGACAGTTTAGGTTCTGTTGTGGAAATGAGGCGACAGATGTTCAGGAACAGAACGGGGCGAAGGGTGATGGATGTCGGCAGGAAGAGGGGGCGGAGAGTGCGGCTGTGCACAGCACGCCCCCAGCGCATCTAAAACTCCCACGCCACTTCGTGTAGCTGGCACGCTGCCGTGTAGCGGTGGCAGCTGACACGGCAGCGGACGGGGAAAGAAACGGCATCTCCATACATAAAAGTACATCACAGAACAAGGATGAGGGTCATTCGTGCACCGGGCGGGGCGTGCTCATACCACAGCACTTCTTAAAGGGTGGCGAAACTCGATTTTTTTGCTTTCGGTGTCTGACGCAAGCCGTCCCAACAGCGCAGAGTTTCGACGTTCGACACGCTCTGCCACCTGAAGCTCCGTCCGTAAGCTAGCGACTCGCCCGTCTCATGGTTGCTTTGCTTCACGCGACGGCGTCGGTTGACTCCATGCATGGTGGGTACTACTGGACGCTCGGGGAATGCTGGCTACATCATGGTAAATATGATGCAGCCAGTCCCCCTGCGTGCTGCAGTACCCACACCATGTGTTGAGTCACCCTCCGCCGTCGCGTGAAGCAAAGCGACCATGAGACGGGCGAGTCGCTAGCTAGTGGGCGGAGCTTTGGGCGGCCGAGATTTGTTGAACGTCGAAACTCTTCGCTGTTGGGACGGCTTGGTTATCAGATACCGAAACACGAAGTTGGTGGGTCGACTTGGGTCTATGTACGTAAAGCCCTGCCGCTACTATTCGGCAGGGTGTGCGGTAAACACACGGACGACTTGGTGCTCAAGGCGAAGCTTTTCCCTCGATCTCGCCCTCTTTCCGAGACCAGTCTGATCTCGCCATGACGCCCGGTATCCATGTTTCTAGGAAATCTACGTACAAGAACGACTATGTACCCGTTCGAGATAGTAACACAATAGGCGAAGGGGATTGTTGAAGTCTTAACAGCGATTTGGGAAAACACCGGCACGATGCTGGCTTAATGTGAGCCCTTTGAAGCCTATTAAGCCTGTACACTGAATTTTGTGTTTCGTTTTTTCAAGCGTGCGGTCTCGCCCAACCTGCTGTCGCCATGTGCGCCTACGCGCGCCTCTTGTGTTGCAGGGAGAGCGAAGAGCAGAGAAGGCGCCAGGCGGAGCAGCGAGCGGCGGCCAGAGAGGCCAAGCGGCTGGAGAAGCTCAGAGTCCGGGAGGAGCTGAAGGACATGCGCGTGGAGGTCAGTGACGAAGGGCCCACCTCTAGGCACAAGTTTGTGTTTTGACGCCCGGTGTTTCAGGTTTAGGGTATCGTGTTTCGTGTGCCGTCGACTACAGAATCCTTTTGTATCCCCGGAGAATATTTTGTTCATTCTTCTGTGGGTTGTCTTAGCATCCACTATTGTTGGAGTACCGTAGAGGCTTTGGTGCGGAATTCTCATCTGAGCGGCTATTGTTTCGGTCACGTTGTTACTTTTTTTGCTCTCTTTGGGCCTGGATGCTTTTATTTGCGCCAGGTTCTGTGGCACTGTTTTCGCGCACCGGTTAATTTTTGCTGCGGTGCTGTCGATTAGATTAGACTATTGCGACGAGGAGTTCCGGGCATGTGCTCCCCGCAGGCCGCAGCCGTGCGGGTGACTCAAACGAACTGATGACCGCAGGATAGCTTTGCGTGGGTATATCCGTTCTTCTCTTTGTTCATACTTTATTCATTCTGTTGTTGTTGCCATGCCCTTGTGTCCGCCGTTGCCCCTCACAACAAACAGGAGGCTCGATGTAGGAAGGCGTGGAAAATCGCCGATCGGGAGCTGCTCATCCGACGGCAACAGCAGCAGCTGCAGCTGCAGCAACAGCAACTCCAACACCGGCAGCAGCAGCAGCAGCAGCAGCAGCGCTTACAGCAGCAGCAGCAGCAGCAGCAGCAGCAGCAGCAGCAGATGGTCGCAGGAGGCGACGGTGGTACTCAGCAGGTACTGTACGCTTCGGCAACCGGGTGTCTTGGTACACAGCGTGTGGTGTTTGTATCTCCACCACCCCGCATCATTCCCCTCCTACAGAATTGGTGTTTTCTCATAGGAGTATGATGGAACTTTGTAAGTAGAGAGTATGTACAGCTGCTGTGGCGTACCGGTAGAGTATATAACCAACTGGGCGACTTGGCCATCTCTATGCCCTCTTCGGCCGTAGTACGCAGCCGCAGCAGTAGCATGTGACACATTTTTTTTTTTTTTCCATGTGAAGGGAAAATCGCTGCGAATCTCGCCCGATGAAACATCCAACCCGTAGCGGAAGCGACCACAACCCCCCTCCCCTTCCGTGCTGCTGATTCTGCGGTGTTCAGGCTAGATGCGAGCGAGATAAGGCCCTAGAGATACAGTTGCGACGGGTCAAGGTTGCACAGGTGCGGCCGCTTGTTTTCTATTTAAATTCTTGTAGCGGATTTGTTTTACGGGGAAGGGGTGGGGGTTCGGTGTCGTAGGACGCAGAAAGGAAGACAAGATTTGTTCCCCTAGAGATGATGACACGGCCGCTCGTATGGCGAAAGGTTGACGACATGAAGCGTTTCTGTGGGTGTTAACGGGGATTCGGCATGAAGCGTCAAGCATGCACCACGGCGTGCATGCGGCGTGTCGGCCGACCACACGACCGGGGGCGTGGACTACAACAGCGCAATATTTTGTATTTCGTCAAACTGCATAGGTCTCGTTTTCCCTTCGTGTCCCTCCTTGGCAGCTCTCGACATGTCCCTCTCTTTGTCTTGCTAGCCCTCCTGTCCACCCCGCCTCCCCCCCACTAAATTTTTTTGAGCCTTACGCCCTGCTGCTTCGTAGTTCATCCATGCGTTCCCCCCACCCACTGTTATTTTGCGTCTCCCACCGCCATGCATGTTTGCCAAGTTTCCGTGTTGCTTGCGGTATCCTACAAGAAGACAAATCTCCGGAACTCTCTCTTCCCCATCGTGCTGATGGGCTTGCCCCCGCGGGTATTCATCCACGCCCCCCACCCCTTTCCCCCCCGGTGTTTACCGTCGGGGTTGGCTTTTCGTCGACTGGCAACGACGTTGCGAAACAAGCCGCCCCCCCCC